CAGGTGTGTGGTGACAGATAATAAGTTCACTTCTGTAAGACAAAATGCCTACCTTTGGATAGTTGCTACCAGTTTCATCAATGTTGAGAAATTGCAAGAGCTTCTTATAGATACTGAAATCAAAAGACAATGAAAATCCATTGTATGATCCACAGACCTGTGTGTTTCACGACTCTCACAAAAGATGCAATATCACTGCTTACTCACCTTGGGTTTCTATAATCTTTCCTGTTTTGTATGTTGGTGTTTAAATCAAGCTTTTCTTGGTGTGTCTTTTCTAACAGTGATCGAATCTTATCCTGAGTAAGTAATAAAATTAACTGAAGTAAGGTTTCCTTCATAGCACAAGTATACAGTCCACCTTTACATAATAACCATGTTGCCATAAATAACACAAACTGCTGCATACATGTATGTGACACAGTTCTACTGAAATGATGCATTATGATGTTTTAAAGCTTGATAAAAAACCAGGACATGTTAATTATCCAAAAACCTATTTCAATCAGCATTTCTTTAACTCATTTCAAAAGCGCTTTTTCTTCTCTTGTTATAAGCCCCCCCTTCAGATAGAAACACCCTATTCATAAGCCTTCCTAAAACCTCATGGGAAATTGTGTGAGCCCATGGCTTATAAGCAGCAGATTATGGTATTGTCAACTTGATACCTGGAGAGCGTTGGAACACCGGCCAGTAGGTTCAGGTGGTAACTGCGGCATCTTGATGTCAGTTATTGAGTTTGATGTTTCTGTGGTGAGATCCTCAACTAACAAGTGTGATAATTAATTTCAAGAGAAATTTTAACATAAGTGTCAAAATCAATCCACTATCAGGCAGTTAGGTTTTGATTTGCTGTCTGTGATTAGCACATAACAGATAATGAAAAGGATTTATCATCAATTGGTTTAAAAAAGCCTTCTTTCTCCCTCTTTGAATCAGTTCTAGATATTAACATTTTCTTCAGCACAAATTTTCAAAGTATTAGGAACAACATCTTTATGAAGTATTTTCTTTTACGTGAAGATCTTTTACATCAGGATGTGCATAGCTTACATCAACTAGCTCAATGTTACATTATTAAACCAACTATATCAATTGAAAATAAAAAGCAAATAGTCAAACCACTTACCTGAAAACAGGGACGTATAAGTCATCACAATCAGGATCAGATTCAAGTTCAAGGTTATTCCCAACCATAAACTTGACAAAGAATAGTTTTAAAATGTAAGATAAGTGAGGAGAAGACCTCCAGAAATCCTATGGCATACATATCAGAGGTCACCTCAAATCATCGACTGATTTATAAATCTCAGAGCGAAAGTGATGAGCATGAAAATTTCTGATTGTTTGTTTTTTTGGATCGTTTGCCTGGTGGTTTTTCAAGTGGTTGTTGTCCTTTCTACAAAGTACTTTGTATTTAAAAAAAACTCACCAATAGAATCATCTTTTTCTCCTGATTGCACCATTTCTGATAAGTCACTGATTGTCTGCAAGACATTCAAAGCAGAACCCAATGTAAGCAATGGTGAAAACAAACAAGGCCTGTAATTATTAAAACAAATAAATGAGTAAAACTGAAAAGTTAGAACTATATGCTTACCAAAGCAACTTGAGCAGTATTTTTTTCTTGAGAGGAATCTTCATCAGTAACATCTTTATCTATCACTGAAAAGGGTAAACAGAACAAAAGTACTGTCACATAAAGATGTGGGACATAACATAAAGAAGAAAGATGTAGTATCATATTGATGGTACAGAGGAAACTGGTTTGTTATATTAGGGGTTTGTTACATCAAAAACCTCTATTGACAAGTTTGCGGAAAAACAACCAAATTGTTTGTTATATCGAGGGCTGATTAATAATTATATTTTATTAAATATTATTTTTTTTTATTGTTGTGTGAAGTCATGCTACCCAATACATGAATTTTTGGGATCCAAACAATTACTGTATATAACATTTGTGCTTTAATGACCATATGAAGCTACAGTACATTGTACAAGTCTGTACATGGCTACAGCACCTTGTTTATAAGGCACGGAGGACAAACTTCAGTGGAAGTCACAGGCAAATGGACAAATGATGATGGATTTTGATTCTAGTTGGTCGGCTCACATTTGTCTTTTGTCACCTGTTGACATTTGTTCGTTATAACAGGGCATATTGTATGTTTGGGCTTCTGCATTGCATTCGTTATAACAAGGATTTTGTTATATCGTGGTTCATTAAATCAAGTTTCTTTCCCATATATTTTATTGTAACTTTGACTGGACTGAAGAATATCATCATTATACCAAGGACTTTGTTGTATAGTAGTTTGTTAAATCGAACTTCCACTGTACCACATGTAATTAAACAGTAGATTAGTCCTAACAATAAATAATTCTCTATTTAAGCTTACAAAAACAATCATATTTTTGATACCTTTTTCATCACTGACAGTCTCTTCAACAGTCTCTGGGTCTTCATCAATTACCTAATAATATTAAAACAAAAACCAATAAGAACTGATATATAAAATTTAAACCTTTGTTTTCTACTTATAGTGCATTAAGAAAAAACTATAATGCTGTAATTTCAATGGATATAATTGTAATGTATGACAAGGACTCAAGCAAAATATTTTATTATTCTGCCCACAACTCAGTCAATAAGTACGTAATACATATACATATTCTCGTATTACCATGATAATCTGGCTTCAGCCCTGATGTAGTTGATAATCATATTTATATATTTTTTTAAATTCAATCTCTAACTCTAAACAATCATTAACTTCTTAATAAATCTCTCCAAAAATACCTCATCTTTAGGCTCTTCCCCTTTTTCTTCTTCATCATCATAGGAGACTAACCGAGCACCTAAACAAGCAAAACGCCACACAGGATATTGGTTGATTTGTGTTTAATAATCAATATCAATAATTTATTTAATTATTATTTAACTGTCATCTCGTTCAAAATACGAACGTGCATTAAATCTACAATTACAATAATAAAATAGGATATTTTGATGAAGTGTTGTTCTGTCACTTTACAGAGTGCAATACATGCATGTGCCACGTTGCCATTGTGCAGTCATGCAACACAATTGACTGTGTTTGGTTCTCTGTTACAAAAGAGTAAAATTGTAATACTTCTGGACAATTTCAGTCTAGCAAAAACGGATGCAAATGGATGGTGCGATCTAGAAAGTTATTACAACACTCGATTTCCATAAGATTAGTCAACTAATTTAGTTGAGATTAAAACAGGCTTAAAAAAGAATGGGACGTTTCACTTTTTAAGCCAAACTCCCCAATGGAAAACACACTTCGGTACACAAGACCTGACCACAATTCTGAACCTAGAAATACACATTTCAAAGGAAAACGCCAAAGTACCGATTCAATTCTGATTCGTCTGCGCATATGTTAATAAATGTATCGATCTCACAGATTCTCCTCCCTTCCATGCATATCTAAAGATCTCATCATATATCTTGGCAAATCTTAACACAAGTCTTCCGATGGACTTACTTGTTGTAACGTACGGTTGGGAAACCGAAGGTCTCGCCGTAACAATCGGCTTGTTTTCCGGTTCTACTTCATCATCAGAGTCTTCAATATCACTCTCACCAAGTCCATAATCTGCCAGAGAGTTTAAGGACCCTATTCTTTGGTTATCCATAACAATTTTTATAATGCAGACGCTACCAAATGGAAACAATTTAAAGATGCATCATTGACAGCCCAGCCGCCATCTTGAAATTTTTGAGCATGTCTGTTGTGGAGCGCCTGCTGAACATATACCTGGCACATGCAAGGCGAAGTGCGGGGTTAGGTCAGGGGTGGGGTAGGGAAGAAGGGAAGGAAGCAGGGTACGATCACGAAAGTATTGTAACGAACGCAGTTGACCTCTGTACTTTGTTGAAAATGTATCTGATGCATGCCTGGATCAGGATACAGGGACACCTCACGCCATAACCAGAAGCCGTTATCATTATACGTACAAGCAAAGCGCAAAGCAAAATCCGCATGCTAATTGTTAAATACTCCCGCGACAGCTGGGGAAGACATAGACTTAAAGCAATGTGCTGTTGACTCTCTTTTAAATACCACATAAAAATCATGGATTAGTAAAGTGCCTTTAATCTGGCAAAATAATATTTTCTATCGTACCAACCGCCCAGGAATATCCAGGCAGGTGCTTTCTGAAGTTCAACGTTTCATATCTCAAGTTTTCGGTTATGGACTTTAAAACTAAATGGCATTGATTTTGAGACTGAGGCTAAACAGTCTTTCTTTGCGATTTGAGCCTGTAAACATTCTTAGCATGCTCTTTAAGTAGTGTGGTATAATATTTCAATAAATCCATTCAGAAGTGACCAGTAAACAACAAACTGAATTGTTCTTCAGTGTATCGTGCAATGAGAAACTGCATTTTTAATGTTAAAAAAAAATTATTTTAGTATTCGTAGTATTCGGGTTAATTGTGCTGTTAGACCACAGTTCTACATTTTTATTGTACTTTCAATTACTATTCACACCGAAAAAGAAAAAAGCAAAATATCTCTCAGTCTGGGTATGTTCTTCATATGTCCTCAAAATTTTGCTTAAACTCAGCCTCAACATCCTTATATAACAAAAAAACAAACAAACAAACAAACAAAAAAAAAAAAACAAAAAAGGATAAAAACGATGAAAATGAAATACAAGTCAGTGGGGGGCTTCTCATTGCCAGCGGGATATCAGACTGAAAGCTCCCATGTGAAGTCGTGGCAAGTGGTCAGCCATTCCAAGATGGCGCCTAAACCTTAAAATATGCACGGCATCCGGAGATACGCGACAAAAATACATTGCGTTCTCCTCAAGTCGAACGCGATTAGCATATTAGGACGAAATATGAAATGACGTCCACGATCCACGAAGTCCAGGTTCACGCCTGTGGGGTCTGATCGTCCCGTGATACTAGTTCCAAGACTCCTCCCTTCCGCTGAGCTCAATCGTCATTCGAGACTCTGGGTCGAGTATAAATTAGAAAACACAGCAGCGGAGACGTAGTTTTCAAACGCAAACGTTTTGCCGAAACTTTGGAAGAAAGGTGCTGTTTTGGTGAGTGGTATACCTTGATTTGATCAGACAAACACGGATATGTCTGGAAGTGAAGAGAAGATTACGGTAGGTACAAACGTGCGATGACCTTTCATTTTTTCGCTGCTTACGAACATCGGGCGAGCTTGCACTTCACACTTAAAAATGAGCTTGATAATCAGTACCTTACAAAATATTTCCCACAGCTCAACTTTATAAAGTGTAAGAACCGGCTATTTTCATTCAATACAGATCTGTCTTGAGTTTTTCTGTCGGCGGTCACGAATTTTTTGACGATTAGCGTGAGAGTAGGAATTTGTTGAACTCATGCAATCCACGATATGTCTTCAATGAGATGTCAGTTTTCTCGTCCCACGTTTGCTTGTTCATCTTCAAGTTAAGTTTCAAGTTCATCAGTTGCAGCTATTTTCTTTTTATCTATAGAAGTTTTTATTTTTCAAATGCTACCTTTTATTTGCTCCTTCACATTCCTTGATATTGACTAATTTCATACGACCTTGAACGACCTCGGTGTAGTTTTACTAACCCGTGATCTCAACACGTAGCGAATTTTTCATTCCATTATTGTACAAGTTATGTAATTTTTGCGTGCAAATGTAGTGACGAATATATCTTATTTCTGGAAAACTTTCACCGGTGACATTTTGCCTCGCCGTTTGATTAGTTAATGCTTGCTGTGACCTTTTTATTTTTGGCTACTGTGATGTCAACAATATTCGCGGGGAATGAATCTGATTTCTCGACATCCGTGCATCCTGGTTCCAATGTTCACAATTTAAGGTTAAAGTCTTGAGTCAGATCTTGAATAAATATTGGTGACATTCAGGGCACACGAGAAATGAACGAGCTGTAGTTTAAATTGTGAAATAGAACAAGATTAACCCCTAATCTTTATGGTACTTGAAGTGAGCTACTTATACATGAAAGCACTGTAAATTTAACCTGTTGGACTAGTACAGATGTCTTGTTTGTTTTAAAAAGTGAAAAGGAAAAAAAAACCAAAAAAGCCAAAAAAACTAAGGTTTAGGAGAAGCTCATGTTCAATTAAAGAGTTTTTCTAACTTATGGACAAAGTTCAATGAAATTCAAAATATCTCAAGAAAGAGGGTAACTGTAACAAAGCTTAGCTTTATGAAGGTTTAGGTTATTCCAGCCATTATGGAGGTTTCTGTCTGTTAAATGCTAATTAGCTGAGTGCATGTCTATTTTAATGTACATACAGTTAGCAGTAAAAAAATTACGAGAGACCTACAGAACTGGAAGGACAAAAGATGTGGAATTTAGAAGAGAGCAGCTGAGGAACCTCCTCAGACTTATGGATGAGAATGAAGAGGAAATTTTGGAAGCTGTTCACAAGGACTTGCACAAGGTTGGACTCTTCAAACTTCACTATTTGATTTTGGATTTAGGTTCCTTGCATTAAATTAAGGGCCTTAGATCAATTGCATTATTAGAGCTGCATGTTTTTGAGGAGGAAATGAATGGGAAAAAATTTGTCTTTTTTTGAGATTTCATTTTGCTGGTACCTGGTAGCCTCTGGTGGTCCTGGGTTCAAACCCTCAACCCAGCTGCTCCCTGGATTTGTTCTTGGTTTCCCGGAGTTTCACTCCTGCGCTGCACTTGGTATATAGCCAACTGGTCTGCTTCTAGCTTGTGGGGATGTTTGTTTACAGTGTTTGTTTTGGCTTTGCTTTTATTGGCCCTGAACAGCCCCATTGGGGTAGTGTTCAGTTGAAGTTATTATCAATATTGTAATTGTTCCAACTTATTACCAAGTACTGTGGTAATTTATTGTTTTTTATTTTGTGTTTGTTAGCCAAGAACAGAGGCTACCCTTGCAGAGATTTTGGTGGTGAAGAATGACATTGCTTATGGTAAGTTATCAACTAACAGAGCTACTGGTGGATCAAATTGAAAGGGCATCATAATGGATTAGTTCATAGATCAAAAGACATATCATTGTACTTTTTGAAGTATACAGTTACTGTTAGTAGTGGATTGCAGAGTTGCTGCAAAGTTTTTGAAGACTTGTATTTTGAAGTTTGCTTGTATGTTTCGATGATGGATCCTGAGTTCCAGTTATTATGCCCTATATGTGTATCTTTTGATTGTTCTAGCTTACAACCTTTTACATTGTTGGATAATGTAGGAATTGTTGGGTACCTCATATTGTGGACAATTAGGAAGGTTTTTATTGCTCTGTAAAACTTGACTGTTGTGCAGTTCCTGATTTTCCCATATTTGACATATGATAGTCTTTTAGATGCTCTTGGCTTTATTCAAGATGTGATTTTCAGACAGGAATATTGTTTTAGGCTGTAGGTGGCTTTTATTACCCTGAGTGCTACTGTCCCAACAATAAATGATGGAAAATTTACTTCACTCAGTTGTCAAACTTTGTAGTAATAGTTAAATTAAAGTGTTTTCTTGGCATTGTTTTTAGTGGTTACATTAATATACAATCATGTACCTGTATCTATGAACATGATTTTTCTCCCATTGATAAGCTGTGACTGATTCTTTCAGCATTGAATCACTTATCAGAGTGGACTAAACCAGAACCACTTGACGTTCCTTTAGTGAACAAAATGGATTCTTGTTTTACTGTTAGTGAGCCATTGGGGCTGGCATTAGTCATTGGAGCTTGGAATTACCCAATACAGCTCACTATCATGCCCCTCATTGGAGCCATTGCTGCTGGTGAGGCTTAGTATGCTTATTTGATATAGGGCTGCAATGTTTGTTCAATTTTGGTGTGATTTAATGGGGTATACACTCGTTTATGCAGTGGGCTTGTGGTTAGGGTACCCAAGTTTGGGTCTTGAGTTGTGTGTTTGAAGCTGGAATGGGTCATTTTTGTTGTGTTCTTGTGCAAGAGACTTTGCCCTTACAATGCTTCCCTGCAGCTTGGATGTGTGTGATAAGTGGGTAGCAGTCAACTGCTTGGGAAGCCATAAAAATACTGGGGTTAATCTGCAGTATATTAGCATCCTATCTAGAGAAAAAAATTAACAGCAATGATCCTTGTGGCTTCTTTTCATGGAAACCTGGATGAGCTATTGAGATCCTCAAAGATTTTGTTAAAGATGTTTTCAAGATGTTTATTAGGGTCCTCAAAAGTCCTGATGAAGATCTTTTGGGATCCTGGAGGACCCTTCAACAATTTTTACCAGGGCAGACTGAATGTTTTTCAAATGTGCAGTAGATATTCTCTTGAGTTGTCATACTGTTTGTCAGTGTCAGACCACCAATGGTATTCTAGAGTATTTTAAGGGTTATTACCTATTGATTTCATAGCTTAGAGTCAACTACTTGACTAATGCGTGTTCATGGAAATATCCTTTAATAGGAAACTGTGCAGTCATCAAACCATCTGAAATTGCAGAAGCATCAGCAGAGCTTGTTGGAAAACTTATTCCACAATACCTAGACCAGGTATAGTGTACTTTGCTCCAAAATATTCATGACTTTTCTTTGACTGCTTTCGGAAAATGGAATCTATTTACAATCCTTCTTAGGCTTCTGTCAAGGCTAACACAATGGAGAAGGAGACAAGGGATTTTAACTGGTCAGAATTGAGGCTGTTAGGGTCTATATATGATGACAGTTAAGAGTAGACTTTAAAAGGGCTAGAGCCCTGTCCATCCACAAAACTCCTATTCAAAATTGTGCAACTGTGTCATGATAACTAGTCTCTTAAATTTATATTTTTGGACATGTGATTACATTACTTGACTGTGCAAATCAATGTAAATTTGAAATGAATTTTTTAGGAGTGCTTCACTGTTATCCATGGAGGAGTAGAAGAAACACAGTGTTTGCTGAACAAATGCAAGTTTGACAAGATATTTTACACAGGTGGAAGTGCTGTGGGAAAGTTGGTCATGCAAGCTGCTGCAAAGAACTTGGCAAGAGTTACTCTTGAACTGGGTGGGAAAAGGTATATATGAAACTTACAGTAACTTTTTGCTACCTAGCATCAGTATGCATATTCTCCATACTGTTCAATATATGTTTCCTTAAAAGGAAATGAGAGGGAATTTGTTTAAAAATCAATAGCTAATTTGGTTGGTGGTCATTTCCTTAATTCTTGTGACTGTAATGTTTTATACAGGCATGACGTTGTTTGGAGATAATAGATCCTAGTTGATCTAAGGGGTGGAAGAGTTCTATAGTTAGGTAAAGTTCTGGCCATCAAGGGAAGGGATTGGGATTCAGGCCCTATCAAGTTTCGTTGTGAAGTTTTCATACAAAGGGAATACCAACTCAAACATATTTGTTAAACTTTAAACAAAATGTTATGCTCAAGACATACAATTCATGTGCATAATTTTAACAAACATTTTGACAGAAAATTGAAAGGAAAAGGTCTCAATAAAGTGGCAGTTCTGTTTGACCAAAATCAAGCTAAAAGGATTCTAGTTTGGCTGAAATACATGTTCTGCCAGGCTGTATTTTGATAAGTGCTGGTACTTTTTATTCTATAGGCTGTAATTACATGTAATTTGTTTCACTTTAGCCCATGCTATGTTGACAAAGACAGTGACCTTGAGATTGCTGTCAAAAGAATATGCTGGGGAAAGTTTGCAAATGCTGGACAGGTGAGTTGTAACCATGTACTTATACTGTAATTGTGGAAAATGAACATGATGTACAAAGTGGTGTTGCTGAACATTTAAAATTTTGTGAGTGTTATTATTATTATTATTATTATTATTTTTATTGTTAAGTTTTTTACTGAAGTTCCTTTAACTATATGTTTCTGTTTCTGTAGACATGTGTAGCCCCAGACTATATTCTGTGTCACCCAGACATCCAAGAAGCACTTGTTAAACAATTCAAAGAAGCACTGTTTGAGTTCTATGGAGAGGTAGGGCATATGTGTATGAGGTGAAGTCAGCAATGTTAAGTACAAAGCTGGTCGGAATAGAATTAAGGTGGAGTCATCAAGAGCAAACTTTTAATGTAGTTCTCTAGGGCCAGGCTGTCCAAAGCTTGGTTATGGAAACTCAGGGTTAGTGTGAAACTGATTTCATATCTGAACACTTGAATAGAAATTCATAATTTTCTTTTTGTGTATAATTTGATCATTAAATGCTCCTAAAAGAATGGAGAAATTGATTCCAAAAGGCTTTTAAATGAAGGAATAAAGGAACATTAGTTAAAATTTAACCTTGGGTTACTACAATTAGAATGGATTTAAGCAACGATATTATACGGAGGTACTGGTAATCAACCTTGAAACAACTGTGACCAGAGTGATTTTTAATTTGGTAAGAAGTGTCTTGAATGAAGTTCACTGAGTGGGGCTTCAGCCTTGTTGGTTAGCTTCAATTAGGTCTATATGATACTTTTTCATGGTCTCATGGATTTGTTTTTTGACTTCCCTTTTTTATTCTTTGTCAAGGATCCAAAAGAATCACCTGACTATGCAAGGATTGTGAATAACAGGCACTTCAAGTAAGATCACTGAATCGTCAGACTCCCTACATGTCCAACATTTTGTCTGTGCCACTTGGTCTACAGTATATTTATGTCACAGGATACCTGGCTTATGAAAAGATCCGGACATGAAATTGATAAAGTTGAAATTCAAAGATTTACAAAAGATTGTAATGGATATTTATTCTATTTAAATCATTATGAGAGCTCGGTAGCTTTGGTGTTGTTAACATACATGTGAGAGAAGACAAAAAATGTAATTAGCAGATGCTAACTGCAAGCTGAAACAATGGACTGTCTTGGTGAAGAGTTTGCAGTTGTCTCTAACCACTTCCCTGTTTTTGCCGTATCATCTGCCATGGAAACTACAACCTAAATGAGTAATTCTCTAGCCAAACTGTCAACAACTGTAATCACCATCAGATTTCAGTAATTTCAGAGTGACAATCTAATGACACTACTTGTAAAACAAAGGAAACAAATGGAAGACACAGTGAAGCAGTGCTGAGACAGAGAATCATGAAAAGAATTATTGTTTCTATATACCTAATATCTGTCAAGCAGTAATACGTCAATGATTTCCTGTTTACAGTCGTTTAAAGAGCTTGTTGAGCAGTGGCGAATGTGCAGTTGGAGGTGAGACGGACGAGAGTGAAAACTATATCTCACCAACTGTAATGATTGGTGTGAAACCAACAGACCCAATCATGGAAAATGAGGTGCAGTACAATCTCTTGCGTAACTTTTCCACCTGGGGCTCTTAGTATTAGGAGATGACCAGAGAGACTTTGTGTAGGGGTACTCATCTAACCCTTTATAGCCCAACATCAGTATGCATATTCTCCATACTGTTCTCTATACATTTCCTAAGGTGCTGACAAGGAGAATTTGATGAACAACCAAGAGCTTCTGTAGTTGGAAGTCATTTTATGTATTCTTTTTAACCTTAATGTTTGATCAAGGGGTGATATTGTAAGGAGAAACTAGATGCTGGTCACTGTAAAAAGGTCAAAGGGTGAACACGTTCAAAGTTATAGTCTCATAGTGTTTGCTTGAGACTTTAATTTATTTTTGAAATAACACTGTTCAAGTAACGGCCAATCATCCCTCTTCCTCAAGAAGAGAATGAGGAACTGATTGGAAATAATATTCTACAAACACTATTGTCATGGCAATGTCATTCGAGGCAAACATTGTGCACATGAACCAGTTATCTTTTTGTTCACGTTTAAACTTTTTTTGCAGGTGTTTGGTCCGCTGTTGCCCATAGTTAATGTAGAATCTTTTGACGACGCCATAGAATTCATAAATGACAGGTAATCTTGAAGAAGTCTTCGTTTTAATTACATCTTCAGCTATGTACGTGTACATCAACCAGCTGAGACTGCCTTTTGCTGCTTCAGTGATGTACGTAATACTGACCCCATGATAACAGAAGTAACACAATGGAAGAATATTGGTAAAGAAATACCGAACGGTTTGGGCTTGTTACAGAGTAGAGGTCTGTCTCTCGAAAGTCGCCATGGTTACTGCTGCTGATAATGGTCAAACTTGAACAATAGAAATATCGCGAAAGGAAGCAGAATTTATGTATCTTCTTAAACTTTTTTTTAGCACGACTACTCCCCAGTGTGAGGTTTGACAAAATGGCTGAGGGCCCGTAAAGTAAGCGGGACTTTCGAAAGACAGGCATCTGAACCCCTGGCCAAGTGTCTGAGAAATGAATTACGAGGCCATAATATGGCAATACAATATTATTGTAAACGTAACTAAGAGTTTTTTTTCCTGGGTTGGTCGGTTTTCCTCTCTCTATCATTGTCATCACTCCAAGTTTTCGTCATACAAGTAAGAGCCACCTTACAGATGGGTATCGCTGAACTATGTATTTTGTTCCAATCGTTGTTTATTTGTAGAGACAGGCCGTTGGCCCTGTACATCTTCGCTAATGACAAGTCCAAGATTCAGCGCTTCATGGACAGTACATCCTCGGGAGGATTTCTTGCGAATGATACAGTGGTACATGCTGGTGGTAAGTACAAGTTCAGTTTGCTAATTTCGTTTGGGTTAAAATGATGGACCCCTTTTAAGTGTTTATGCTAGGCCGATTTTGAATTCTTGCACTAAAATAGCAACGTATCGAAGACACCTCGCATCTTGGACTAACATCTCAATTTATTTAGCAGAGCTAAATTCTCCTGGTTTTTTGCCTCTCCGGGCCGTTTAAAAGGCCTCGTATTTGACGGTCAAAAGTGATTTGAAAAAAAAAACTTTTTAAAGCTGCTCTGAAAGGGGAAAAACAGAGGCATTTCAATGTAATAACTTTTCATTTTACTTAATTGAGTCTTTCAGACCACGATTTTTTCAGCTATATACGTGATTTTTCCGTAATCACCGCACGTTTCTTCATAATTATTTCTTCCGTTTGTCTCACATGGTAAAGCATTTATAGGTTGGTCCGCCTGTGCTCTTAATATTGCACCATTCCTGTCTCCCATTTCTACCCAATGTACAACTCTCCTCTTCTTAGCTCTAATGGCTCGATAAAAAATCCAAATCTAATTTTTTTCATCTCCTGGTAGTTGAATCGCTTCCATTTGGCGGTGTTGGCGAGAGTGGAATGGGAAACTATCATGGCAAGAATTCGTTTGATTCGTTTTCGCACAAGAAGGGCTGTGTCATCAAGAAACAGGCCATGGAGTCGTTTAATAGGTATTCAATTTTTTTTTTATATTCGTCCTTGTTTTAGCATTGACCAAAGAGGAGGAACGGAATCAGCATATTTTAAAACACTTCAACTGCAAGTGATCTGTCTCAATAAGAAGTGCTCTGATATATTATCCACTTGGATGTTTAGATCTTCTCATGTCTTCTATATGTTACTCATTATTCTTGTATTATTCTTATCAATCATTACTATCACCATTATCACTATTATTATTATTATTATTGTTATAAATAGTAATACTATAGTTTTCATTATCGTTTTTGTTTCTGTGTTCTTTTAATGTTGATGATGATGATGATGATGATGATGGTTATCATTATTTTTAATATTATTATATTACAGTACCTAACGGTCAAGATGCGCTTTGACTTTTGGCCATATACGTACATGTAAAATGTAATTACTCGCTTCGTTTTTGTTAACATAACGTTGGTAAAGATCCATCAACCATCAAACAGAATGTTCAAAACTGACGTTTTTACGTTTAGCGCCTTTCTGAAGGCGAACATTTGATTCATCAGAGCTCTTAATTCTCATCAGCTTCTGTTCACTCATTTGTTTGTCATTTTCCTGATAGCATCCGTTACCCGCCATACGAAGAAAAACGTCTTGCATGGATTCGTTGGCTGATTGAAGCTAAGGAACAGTCGTACGAAAAGCTGTCGGACATAGCGCCTCTCTTGCTTTCCGTTCCACTCGCTATGATTCACAAGGTTGGTATTCCTGTGAAAAACTTCAGATATTCTTATTATATAACGCAGTAACCCGGCAAACTAGCTAAAAGTGGAAATTGAAAAAGAACACTTACATGGGAGTATTTTTTTGCTAGTGAAAAGAGCCCCTGAATTTTAAAACGAGAGATATACGTATGCCGATAATTATAGCGGGGCAAGGGGCTCTTTTTTCCTTTTCTGCCACTGGACTTTAGCAAGCACCCAAACTGGAGCGTGCAGCGTACATTACCGCTTTTACTAAGCGCATCGATTGTTCGTTCCTAAGAAACCGCAATCTTTTTAGTCAATGCTATAGATCAGGAAACACTAATTTACCTGACGTATAATTGGCCAATAAACCAAACAACAATCAATAAACGTAAGAAAATCGGTGAGGAGTTTCTGCACAGACTCATACACAAATCAAATAGTGTCTGACAGCGGCAAAATGAGTGCATTTGCTCGACGGAATTGACGCGTTCGACGAGTGATTCCAGCGTTCTTGAATTCCGTTGGGAAACAAACAGATCGTATATGATTGAATATTTCTTGTTTCTGTCCTCAGGTCATTGGACTACCGAGATATTTCTTGAAGTAGACGACTTTTGAAGAATTCAATGTCTCATTATCATTTTGTTTGTTTGTAGTTGAGGACATATAGTAACTTCCTTAGCAGTGTGAAAAAATAATTATAACCAAAAACGAAAATGGACATTTTCTTTGATGAGCTGTTTCCCTAATTTCCTCCTGCAGGCAGGAAATAGGAACGTGGAATGTGGCAAGCTGAGAAATATGAAATTATGTGTATCAGTGGTGAGGAAAATAATAAATCAATTCATTCCTGTCCTGTAGCTAAGTTCACAGGTATAAGCTTTGTGAAAGTGAAGGGCCTTTGTCCCCACTACCCACTCCTCGCCGGGGGGCCATGAAGTCACAGAAAGTGGCAGAAGACATTAAAACGAATACAACATATACGGCACTCGAGAGTTTCATATTGTGTTAAAAACGCAGATGGCTATCTTTCCTTGCTCAAAATATACAAGTTATTCTTGATTCTTACATTTGATAAAGCGAAATATTTTTGCTACATAACAAATAAATTATTGACTAAGCTCGGTTCTTCGGTCAAGATGGCTAGATATAGACAAAAAGGGACTTGGCCCACATCCAGCCATCTCGACCTCACGCTTGGTCAATAACGCATAAGTACTGAGTTTTGCGAGTGTTATCCTGTCATCGTGCAATAAGGAGTTATTAAAGATGTTGATTATTCCTGTCGTAATTGCCGGGCACGACATAAACAAAGATATTCGATCCCTATGCTCCGATGCTCTACTACTTGATTACAGAGAACTGTGTTGTGGGATAGGCCATTAGTAGGTTCTTCTGTAACATATCCTTGGAACTGATAGGATGAGCAGCAAATTTCCACATAACCCCGTCAAACAATAGAGTAGCCTTAACTGTGCTCTGTTCAGGTGTAAAGTACGCACGAAACGGCGATAGCACGAAAGAAGTGTGGGGAGAGACACGAGACGTAGTCGTGGGTGCACTCATCGATACTTGAAACCAAAACGTCTACTAAGATATGTTTACACAATGTCAAGGTCAGTACAAAGTCCAACAAACCTGACTCCAATGGAGGCCATGCGGAACTTAAACATAACCTTTCCATCGCCGCTCACGTGACGGCGTTCTCGACCCAATTTTTTATCGGTATTTTTGCTGCGCGCGCCGTTTTGAGATGACGTTTGCGTCCTCTTGCTAAATCACTCTATTGTCAAATGTGTAAAAACACCCTCAATTATTACATAATGATGCAAATCCCTAAAGGCTGTTGCCAGGCCCTGACGACATTTCTTTTTTCTTCCATCCACTTAAACTTGCAGGTATGCACACATATTAAACGATATTACCATTAAACCGTGAAAAAAAGGTCCTCACTATAACAGGTCTTTTTAATGAATTGCTGAAACATGCCTTCTACAGTACTCATGAAGCATGAAGGGTGTCGAGAACGCGTGTAGCCAAAAATCAATCAAATCAACAGCCTTCCCAAATTAAAATGACCGCAAAACACTACTGTCGTTAAAAGCCCCTGTTTGGAAACCCACAATAACATAACGCCGATTCTAAGGGAGTTTCCATGAAAATAACCCTTATTGCTCACTTCACAACACTATTACCGAGTTAAGATGAATTATTTGAAATAAGGAAATTTCAACATCCAGCTTCTGTTTTGTTGAGATCTCAGAGTACAGTTTACTAGTTCCTCAAGAAACTGTCCTTGTTCATTTCTATCAGCTTTCATCAAGCCGTAAGTACGTTTTAGTGTTAAAACCAGTACCAAACTCCACGTTCTGAAAAGCAATTGATATCCGAAAAGTGTGTTTTTATTTTCTTATGGAATCTAATTCAGTTCTGAAGCTGTTTGCTGCTCGTCACTTGACCGGCCCTTGGTTGGTTGAATTTTCTCCCCGTTACACCAGCA